AGTACTTTTTACCGTAATTTATACTATTTTACTGACCTTCTCACTAGTTAAATCGTGTAGACGAGTGTAATTGGTGGCGCCGGCGTCTGCCAGCAGCGCCGCTTTGCTGTGCCTTGCCACCTCGTCGAACATCATGTATTTTCGTGGCAGGAGCCCGCGGCGCAGCGCCGACGATCTGGCGCCCAAAATCAGTGGACTTGGATCACAATCGCGATAGAGATCATATGGATTCAAACCACCGAACCAAAGGAATTGAAAGATGTCCTCGACCTAAAATGTCGCAAGATCAATGTATTTGACACTTTTTAACAACCGCTACAGTACTTTTTGCAGTAACTAGTTACAGTATCCTGTACAGTACCCTATCTTAATACTGTAATACAGTAACCCAAATACAGTAACCCAAATACAGTACTACTACGAACCATTCGAGCGCAGTGACCAGTCACCTGCGTCAAATCACACGTCTCAATACAGCCATGACAGCATTCGTTCTCCAGGGTGGTCCACGCCTTTTCATCGATAATTCCATGACCGTACGCGTATCTGATCGACGTATCGATATTGAGCGCCTCGTTCACGTAGCCATTGCCCAGCGCCATTCCCTAAAATAGTAATAATAATAATGATAATTACAGTAACCATACAGTAACCACCACGTTCAAATACAGTAACTATACAGTAACCACCACGATCAAATACAGTAACTATACAGTAACCACCATTACAATTACAGTAACTATACAGTAACCACCACCACAACAATTACAGTAACCATACAGTAACCACCGCAACAATTACAGTAACTATACAGTAACCACCGCAACAATTACAGTAACCGTACAGTAACCACCACCACAACAATTACAGTAACTATACAGTAACCACCACAACAACTACAGTAACTATACAGTAACCACCACAACAATTACACTAACTATACAGTAACCACTATCACAATTACAGTAACTATACAGTAACCACCACTACAAATACAGTAACTATACAGTAACCAGGCAGTCACAAACCTTCAAATTTATCCGAAACTCGTCCATGCCATCGATAATACGAGCAGTCAACGTGGGCACATACACCCCCCCATAACTCTCACCCATAATATAGGTGGAGTGGTTCCTGAACGATGGGTAGGCTAAGAAGAACGCCTTCACTGCCTCATAATTCTCCAAAGAAGTCTGAAAAATAACCACAAATACCAAAAATTTTTTACCGTTTGTGAATGCTGCAGAAAAAGAAACCGCACGAATCAACATCGATAACATTCAACTACATTTGCAGTTGTTACGGCTTGGTTGTTTGTCTAGATCACTTTAAAGAGTGATTGGTCTAGATCACTTTCTCGATGTGATCATTGTAGATCGATAATCGATAATTTAGATCAACTCCACGCAGAATGCGTAAAATTGTTGTGAGAAAGTTATTCGTTTGTGAGTGACGCGATCAAATTGATCTATAGTGATCAAATGCATGTCAATGAGCAGCACCTGAGCGCTAGTTGAGCTGGCTTTAATTAATTAGCTATATCTCCTCAATTGAGCGAGTTGGCCCAACAAAATATATATTTTCCTGAATGCAGAGATTCTGATCAATCGATTGGTGTGATCAAATTGATAGGTTACTGATCAAAACTGAGGGCATGGTAGGATTGAATGTGCCAAGCAAAAAAATTTTTGTAACGGTCATATGCTTGGAACAGAGCATTTTTTCATTTTATTTATTAAAGTATAGGCATCTTATCGAG